TCTTCCCCTAGCCAACACCTTCTGTGGCTCCCATTTATACTTAGTGTGAGGACAGCTTCCTTCATAGGACCTACATGATCCTGCACCCCCCTTTATCCCTAGCTTCACCCCATAACCCTGTTGCTCTCTCAGCTCTCAGTACCTTGACATTCTTCCAGTTCCCCCATGGACCATGATGTCCAGGCTACAGGGCTTGTGCCCTCTTTTCTATTTCTAGAAAACTCTTTCCTCTCCACTCACCTAATCAATTTCTTCTCTTCTTTAAGAGCTAAACTCATCTGTCATATCCTCCTTAAAGCCTCTCATGTTCTCTGTATGGCAAATTCCCTTTTGGTGCCATGTAACTCCTTCCATAGTAATTATTCTATTATAGGCAATCTCCCCTATTAGGCAGTGAGGTCAGCAGCCATGTGTATTTGCCCTCCCTGCATACTTGGCATAGAACAGGCACTTAATAAGAATGTGTTGGATATGGTGAAATAATAAATAGAATGAGTCCATGGAAAAAGGAGAAAAGATGACCTCAGAGACCAAAAAGCATGGGCTCAAAACCCAAAGCAACACACTGGACATTGGATAAAGACCAATAACTCAGAGCTCCAACAGCCACCCAAGAACCATGTAAAGTCTGAAATGTGTTTAACATGGTTGGCCTTATAGTTTTTTTTAATTTGTTGAAAATATTTAAAAATTGGAAGAATTTAACATTTTTTTTTAATTCAGATCCCCAGCTTCCCTTGAACAATCAGAAGCTCTGGCAATATTGGACCTGCATCTCGCATAGTAGAAATGACCCTGAGGGGACAGCATCATCCTCACTGGACAAGGTATGAGCTCCCTGGTTTTCCACAGTTCCCACATGACCCATAGTCTACATATGTGCACAGCCTGGTCCTTGCAAACATTTGACTTTGCAATACTTGCTCTGAAGGAGAAGGTTCTGAATGACAAAGAAGCTAAGCTAAGTGCAGAATGAGAAACTGCTACAATCACAGCCTACCAGGTGTCCACAGCCCAGAGGTAGTCTGCATCCAGACAGCCACCAATTCTGATTCCCCCTGCACAATGTAGGGTCTGATGCCTCCATCACTCTGATTCCAGACCTCCCCATCTCTTGCCTAGGCCATGCTCAGAGCCTCCTGAACACTTTCCCTGCCCAGTCCCCTCTTCCTCTACTCAGTTCTTCCCACTGTCATCAGGGCAATCTTTCTGAAGCGAAGTTTGACCTTTCATTGACTCAGTCACAACACATTTACTGAGCAACTACTCTGTCCCAAGTGCAGGAAATAAAAAAGTATTTTGTCACCATCCACATTCTGGATGTTCATCATCTAGTAAGGAAGACTAGTAATTGAGCAAATTCTATCATTCCCTCCTCTGGTAAGGTCTCTAAACTGCCTATAAAATAAAGTCCCCCTTCCCCAGCATGGACTCCTTGGTTCCCCATGAATGGGTCCCAACTGGCCTTTCCTGTCCTGCTTCCCACCACAGCTCAATTGCATTAAGCCACCTATCACTCTTCCAATGTGCCAAAAGCTTTTTCTACCAGTAAGATCTCCAGTCACCTATCTTCCTGAGGAAATGGAAATTACTTGAGAGCATGTGTCTTGTCCTTATCTATCTCGGTGCCCTCAGTAGGCATCTGGAAGGAGTTTGCCAACTTGGAACAGAGTGGAATGGCCTCTCATGCAAGGACACCATTGCTTGACTCTCTTAGGTGCACACCCACTTCTGGGACCAGCAGATGGTGCAATGGTTATGTCGCTGGACTCCCACATAGTCGACCGCAGTTCAAGTCCCTGACACGGCAGCTTGAAGCTCGCACCAGGCACGTGTGCATGTGTGCCCAAAATTCCAAGAGGAGACTGGAGGAAAATAAATTGTAATGTTGCCATACCCCTGGGGTATGATTTCTCACTTTCTGTCTCTCTGCTTCTTTCTGTCTTTCTAGCCAAGCACACACGCCCTATAGCAAAAACCTCTCAAAAAAAAAAAGAGCACACCCACTTCCTAGTAGCTTCTTAATCGTGACAGTTTCTAGTCTATGGCCCCTGCAGCATAGGTCCAGTCACTTCCTATCACCTCCCCCAACCCTTGTACATATCTCTCTAGAGAGCCTCAGCAAGACCTTCGTACTTTCAGTCCTCGCTCTCCAGCAGGCCCCGGTATGTGTTGATCTCAGACTCCAGCCGGACCCTCATGTCCAGCAGCACCTGGTACTCCTGGTTCTGACGCTCCAGGTCAATCCGGATCTCAGCCAGTTGAGCCTCCACGTCAATGATCATGCCCTGCATCTGGGTCAGCTGGGAGCTATAGCGGGCCTCCGTCTCTGCCAGAGTGTTTTCCAGAGAGTTCCTCTAAAGCAAACATAACCAGGAAGAGGAGAGCAATTTTCCACAGCCTTGTTCAGAACCTTGAAGAACCAAGAAAAGCCAAGTTTCTCTGGTATTGAAAATTATCCCTCCCAGACAGGAGAATGCTTATTCAGAAAAGCTCTTATACATCAATGTTTATTGCAGCATTATTCACAATTACTAAGATACAGAACCAACCCAAGTGTTCACAAACAGATGTATGGATGGAAAAAGTGTGGCACATATACTCTATAGAATACTATTCACCATAGAAAATAACAAGACCCTGGCATTTGATAGAAAGCAGTCGAATATGGAAGATCTATTGCTGAGTGAAACAAGCCAGGATATGAAAGAAAAGTATTCTATGTATCCACTTAACATATACCAACTATCCACACTTTATGGTAGAGATCAAAATATTGGGCGGCATAAAAGCAGTAAAAATATAGATGCTAAAGATAGTGTGGAATGGGGGTGAGGGAGAAGAAACGGATAACAAGAGAACAAATTGAGAGGCATGATATTAATGGGACACAGAAATGGTTTATTACCTGTTGATGATAACAAGTATAGTAGTCTCAACTGGACTGGTCTGAGAAGTATTTCATGTTGGGAAAATTCTCTTTACAAGCCCAATGATATATAGTGATTGAATGTTTAAAAAAATCAAGAGAATAAAACTTTTAAATGACCGCTCCCTACCTAAATTACTGTGGAAACTAAAGCCCAGAAAGGTCAAGTGACTTGCTCAAGGTTCAATAGCTAATACATAACAGAACTAGGGTTTGAGCCCAACTCTGATTCTAAGCCCTTTATTTCTTCTACAATCTTAGACTAACTTCAGGTTGTAGATCTGAGGTTCGTGAAGACCCTCCCAGTGATACCATTTAGACGAATGATTTCCAAGACTGGCTGAACGTTAGAGTCACATGGGAGAGCCCTTTATATTAAAAAAAAAATACAAATAACTAAATAATTTTTTAATTACCTATGTTAGGTTCTACCTCCAGAGACCCTCAATTGAATAGTCCAGAGAAAATAGTCATGATAATACTGAAAACAACGAGTTTACAGGCAGAGACCATACTTTTTTGAGGAGTTTTGTTTGGCAGTGTCTACTTAATCCATGTCTGATTTAGAACATGCCCCTTTATTTCTAAGCTGGATCCTGAGAGAAACCTTCCTCCAGGGAAGGTGAGCAGGATGTGCACCTACAGGGGCTAAAATCAAGGCCTCCTCGTCCTCCTTCCTGGATGCCTGCCTACACACAGTGCTGCCTCAAATCAGAGCTGGGGGAGGTCCCCCTCCAGTGGCACTCACCAGACTGTGTTGGGCCTGCAGCTCGATCTCCAGTGTGTTGACTGTGCGTCTCAGGTCAATGACGTCTGACTCATAGCTCTGAAGTTGTTCAGAGCTTGTGGCTACCTGCTGGTTAAGCTCTTCCATCTGCAATGGAGAAAAGGAGAAGGCTGGGAGCATCTTTTCAGTGCTGCTGAGGAGGACAGATTCCTCAGAGTCTGAGAGACTCACCTGCGTATTGAACCATTCCTCCACGTCCCTTTGGTTGGTCTCCACCATGGTCTCGTACTGACACCGCATCTCATCCAGCATCCGGGTCAGGTCAACGGGGGGTGCGGCATCCACCTCAATGTTAAGGCGGTCCCCAAGCTGACATCGGAGGGTACTGACTTCCTAAAAAGTCACAGAGCCCCAGGCAAGTGTGAAAATCATCTAATCTCAGCTAACCTCCCCAGGGAGTCACAAAATGATACCCTCCCCCAAAAAAAAAAAAATGCTGAAGACTGCCATGTTGGAGAGGCTTTTTAAGGCCTATAGTCCACTCTGCAGTAACTCACTGTCTTCCACATTGAGCTGGACATCCTGCTATGATAGGAGGCTCACTCTGACACAGCACTTCCTGCCACTTTAACAGAGCCAAGAGCAGCATTGGGGTTCATATGATCCATTTGGGCAAAGTGAGAAACCTGTACCCTGGCATTCCCAGTCCTCCTCCCAGCCTCTGATCATCTGGGAAGGAGGACATCAGGAGGACGGTAGGCTTTCCTTGGCTCCAAGCCCAAGTTACAATAGGTACCTCCCCAAGCTTGGCTGCCAAAGAGAGAAAGTTGTCACCGAGGCTGCCCACATGTGTAATAATTCCTCATTAGTGGCTTCTTGGTGCAGTTCCCAGTTTTCTGATTTAAGTGGGATGAATCAGTCGCCCTAGGGTGCCCAGTGGGTATGTGGTGACTGATTGTTACTTTACACTTAAACTAAGGAAACCCAGCCAGGATCCAAAGGCTTTTGTTCATTCAAATCCCACATTAAGAAGTTGAGAATCAACCCAGGAAAGGAAGGAAAAAACACTGCTCAGGTGGGCTTTGCACACGTAGGTACCCAAGACAGAGGGCTTTCCCTTTAAGGACCTATAGAAGATGAGGAAAAACCCAAAAGCAAAAGGGTTTGCAGCAACCAAATGTAAAACAGACAAGTATATTTCATTGTTTTAGATCTTCATGGGGAACAATATAGATTTTCAAAGCTTGCATGCAGTGTACAATAATAAAGTCAAAGATATTACTACATTTATTATTTTGAAAAGATCAAAAGAAAACGTGTTTGCCTATAACTTCGGCTTAAGTATATTATGCATAAACAGAAAAGAGGAAGAGGAATGAATTTGGGGGCAGAAAAGAGAAGAAAACCACTGCGGTTCAACTCTCACTCAATGAGCTAGGGATACCCCTGGCAGTCTAACCAGGGTAAGGTGGCTAAGCCTTTCCATGTAGTTCTAGAATATAACCCACCCCAACCCTAGTGCACTACTCTATCTTTCATATGTGGCTCTCATGGGAAAAACAAATGCAGTCACCAGGAGAGAGCATTTGGCAGTGATATTAGTACCGGAATTGCCATGGGAAGGGAGCCATGTCTCTAAGCACCTAGTGAAAGGCAAGTGTTCCATAACCGTGACCTGGATCATGTCCATTATTATCCATTACATCCTCGCAAGAGCCCCGTATGCTAGTGTTATCCTCAATTTACTGATGAGGAGTTTCAAAAAGATTATATAACTAGGGCAGTCAGAGAAACAATACAAGGCAGGCCTGATCATTTCAACCCACATCTAGCAAACCCCACGTTGTTCCCACCTGCTTCCCACGGCCACCTCAGCTTGGCTTCCGGCCTCACCTTCTCGTGGTTCTTCCTGAGGCACATCAGCTCCTCCTTCAGGGACTCCACCTGGGCCTCCAGGTCAGCCTTGCACAGGGTCAGATCATCCAGGATCCTGCGCAGGCCATTGATGTCAGCCTCCACCAGCTGCCGCAGGGACACCTCGGTCTCGTACCTACATGAGGACAGGGTCAGCAACTAAGAGATGGAACTGAATACAAGACTCAAGGAAGGCCACAATGTGCCTCTCTGAAACTAATGGAAAGCTGCCCTGAGAATGTATGGGAGAGGGCAGCTCCAGTGCCCCCCAGTTCCCTGGCCAGACTCACTTGGTCCTGAAGTCGTCAGCAGCCAGCTTGGCATTATCAATGTGCACAACCATCCTGGCATTCTCTGCCTTGGTGCACAAAACCTGGGGGCCAAGGCAGGCAGAGAAGGTTAGTCCAGGCTGAGAATAAGGATAAAAAAAAACCCACTGAGGAGAAAACAGGGCAGAGGTGGAGCACAGCAGCCCTGCAACCAGCCCTGCAGAAGCCCCTCTCCCCTGGACCTCTGTGGAGTGTTTGGTGAACTGCTAGTCTTTAGAGGACTTGAGATTTATTTTTTAAGTACCTACGTTTTCATAAATACCCTGTTTCGGATGAAGTGAGCAGTGAGGAAGGGAAAAAGCTCATTGTGTCTGAAGTCATTCATGTAACAGAAGGGTCCTCAACACTTACAAAAAACTCGTTGTGTACCAGGAATTAGTCTGAGTACTTAACCTGCATCTTCTAATTGAATCCTCTTAACCTCATTACATAAGGACCTTTATTATCCCCATCTTACAGATTGGGAAACCGAAGCCTGGGGAAGGGAAGGGATCTCCGAAAGTCATGCAATAAGTCAATGGTAGAACTGAGACTGGATCCCAGGTCTCTTTTCACATTAAGGGCTCTGGCTAGGAGCTCAAATAATGAGATAATCCGATGCCCTAGGGAGGTTTCTTCCCTGAACATAGCTGAATAAATTAACAAGATTCCAATCTGGAATGTCAGTTGGTCCAGGCCCCTTCCCAAGGAGTCTGTGCACTGCTTGCTCTTACCTTCTGCTGGAGCTCCTCAATGGTCCTGAAGTAGGATTGGTAGTCGGGACACATGGTGAGCACCTGGGACTGGCAGGCCTCTTGGATCTTGTTCTCCAAGTTGGCATTGTCCTGCTCCAGCTGGCGCACCTTCTCCAAGTAGCTGGCCAGGCGGTCATTCAGAGACTGCATGGTCTCCTTCTCATTGCCATTGAAGGTACCTTCGCAGAACCAGTTACAGGTACCCATGGTGCTGGTAATGCCACTGGTTGGCCGGCAGGAACTGGGTAGGTAGGTCTTAGAGGAGCAGCCGGCTGGCCGGTAGGTGGTGGGCATGCAGATAGAAGGCATGCACGTCACAGGCTGGCAGACATAACCCAGGCACAGCTCAGGCCGGCAACTTACACTGCTGGAGCAGACAGAGGAAGGCCGGGGGCAGCTCTTGACAGAGGTTTGCAAGCTACTGGTGACACAGCACTTGGACATCATGTTGGGGCGCCTTCCTTCTTGGCTGCAGCTATCTAAATGTTCCACAGACCCCATCCCGCCTGGACCTTTTTATACCCTTGGAGTGAGGGGGTTCACGCTGGAAAAACATTGTGGGGTGGTGTTGATGTTTACACTCAGCCCCAGAGGAAGCTGCTAATTAATTTGTAATTTGGTTTCCAATAAGGTGTTCCTTTCCTCATAAAAGAGGCCAAACTTGTCATTTGCTACAGCAGGACTCTGGGCTCCTGTCATTGATCACCAGGGGAAAGCTTCAGGACACATCTTCAAAGGATCAACTCCATGCCTGGACTCTCATTACCAGGGTGGGGCTGCCAGGAGACAATAGTGGCCTGGCCCAGTGCCACCCTTGGCCATGCCCACTGCACCCACCTACTCTGGTTCTGAGAAAGGCTGCAGGTCTGTGGGGCCACAGCTGCTCCTTTAATAAAAGCACTCCCTGTGCAAGGAGGCCAGGCCCCTTAACAAGGAAACGTGTGGGTGACTGAAGCTGCAACAATACTGGCTGTGAGATAAGCCAGGGAGAAAGAAAAGAACCACAGAGGCATCCTAACACATCACTTTTCCACCAAGGGGAAGGAAATAAGATGAGGGTGGAGAGAATGAACTTGAGACACAGACAGAAAGCCTAAAGGGCAGAGACATCTGTTCAGCTGAAGATAATTGAGAAAGCGAGGGGGCAGGACATTTATTTATTTATTTATAAAAAGCAGATGCATATCATGAAGATCTCCATGAGGCAACTTTTCTCTTGGGTCATCAGAAAAATCATGATGTTATTTTTTCTGTTTTTCTATGCAAAAATGAGTCATGAGTTTTATTATTATTATTATTGTTATTTTACCCAACATGAAAGACACCTCAAACCAGTCCAGTCGAGGGATCATGTCTTTTCTAATGACCCAATATTTTGTTCATCTCTGGACCCTCTACTCAATTATTGTGTACCATGTACAGAGCCGTCGATTACTGAGTCACCTTCTGTTGAATAGACTGGGGTTGCATAGGTTGGGTCAGGCTCCATTTTTACTTTCTATGGTGGTGGACAGAGAGGGCTCAATTGGGGCCTCAGAGAAGGGGAGCAGTGTGAATCAGCTCCCTTGAGAAGCAACACTCTGTAGCCCTGGGATGAGCTAAGATGAAGATAGGGAGCAGGCATCCCTAATTATAAAAGCCTTGAGCATTCCCTTATGAGAGCAACATGCTAGACCAGCAGGTTTTAGTCCTGGCTGCAAAAGCTGTGGGCTCACAGAATGTGTGCTGTGTGTGTGTTATGTGGTCACTTTTTTATTCACTAATCTTCTCAATATTATGTCAGGGTATAAGTACTTGTTCTATTTTTCATATGTTCTCAGAAGTGTCAGTAAATGGGCAAAGAGAAAAAGTCACCAGTCTTTTCATTGCTTAAGAAAAGTCAAGGCAGCTCAGCCTTTGTGGCATCAGCTGGAAGCATGTCGGACTATGGAGCTGAAAGCCACATGCCAACCACAGTGCAAGTACCCAGCCCAGACCATCAGATAACACACCAAGCACATGCATGTGTGACCAGGATCATGGCGGGCTGGAAGACTGAAGGAAGGGGTCACAGAGTGACTAAGCCCTATGGAGGGTGGTTATTTCTCTCTCCTTATTTCTCTCTCTCTCATCGATACATACAATTCAGTTTGAGTTTTTCATTTGTTTGTGTTTTTCTTTTAAAGAAAAGTCAAAGGGCTGGATAGAAGAAGTACAATGGTAAATTGCAACACTTTGCAAAGCTGAAACACATGGGAAGGTTCTGAGTTCATATCCAGAAACCTCCCTGAGTACCCTGAACATGGGTGCCCATGATTCAGGACTGCCTGAGACTGGGGGTGGGTTGCAGCATCATGACCTGTCAGGGGTACTGTCTCATTGTCTCTCTGTCTCTCACAGAAGAAATAAAGAAATGAACTTTTAAGAAAGTCAAGCTAGAGATGCTGCCTTCTAACTTGTCATGTGAGCTTAGGAGAGTCACTTTGCCTCTCTGGGCCTCAGTTTCCCCTTGCAAACTGAAATTGATAAAAATAATCTCTCTGTTTAATTCCCTGCACCACTATAAATTCCAGTCCCTTCATTTAGAGAAGACAGTGGCATCATACAGAAAGAGCTGTAATGGTAACATCAACATAGAGCAAGACCCAATGACCCACCCTTCAAAGTCACAACCAGAAGTGTCAGTAAATGGGCAAAGAGAAAATGTCACCATTCAAGTGCCAGGCATGGTGCAGGGTGCTTGACATTAGTTTGCCTATTTACTCTTCCTCACAAACCTATGAGATAACTATTATGCTAAGGTGCAGTAGTGGTTCTCAGTGTATGGTCCCCAGACCAGCAGCATCAACATCTGTCCAGAACATGAGAGAAATGAAATTTTTCAGACTTATCCCAGATGTATTGGATAAGAATCTCTGAGGCTGGGGACTAGCAATCTGTCTAGTAAGTCCCCCCAGTGGTTTGAGAACCACTGAGGTAGAGGAGCATATATATTTCAACAGCTGCCACCAGAATTCCTCTTGCAGAATAAGACTCTTTCTACTTAAAAAAAAAATTGCACTAAGAAGTTCTTGGGGTGCAGGGTGGGGCATCAAGCATCTTGATTTGACTGGCAAGACATAAGAGGGAGCAAGGCGAGAAGGATTGGAAGATCACAGGATGGTCATGGAAGGAAGAGATGAGGGGAGGGAGATGGGAGCCAGGAGCAGAAGCAGAAAGGTGTCCACAAACCCTTCAGCAAAGTCCACGAGGCTTAAATGCTTGGTATGAGCAGTGTTTACAGTTTGAAGGATGGACAGAATTTCACATGAGCAGAACCTACACGGGAGAGCAGCAGTGATCAGACACAGAAGGACCATAGTTTGGGTCAATGTGCAACATCTGGGTGCAGCTTGCAAGAGAAGGAGTGAGAGCTAACAAAGGCTAAGGAAGGTGCCCAGTCGGTGGCATAGAAGATAAGACATCTGGATTTCACATGGCCAAGTCCATGGTGCGAGTTCCAGACTGAGCGGCTTGAAAATAATGCTGGGCATGGGTGCATGTGTGCCAAAAATCCCCAGAGGAGAAGAGAAGGGATTGCAGTATAGCCATCCTCTATGAGGGGTTTGGGGAGGAACGGGTCATCTCTCTCTCTCTCTCTCTCTCTCTCCTCTCTCTCTCTCCTCTCTCTCTCTCTCTCTCTGTATGTATATGTGTGTGTGTGTGTATGTGTCCAGCAAGTACACATGCCCTATAGCAAAAAACTATTAAAAAAAAAAAAAGAAATTGGGAATAATGCCACAATAAACATAAATGTGCAAGTGTTTTTCTGACTGAGTGTATTCCTATCCTTTGGATAGATACCCAGGAGTAGAATTGTTGGATCATATGGTAGTTCTATTTGTAGGTCTTTGAGGAATCTCCATACTGTTCTCCACAGTGGCTGTACTAATTTACATTCCCACCAACAATGTAGGAGAGTCCCATTTTCCCACAGCCTTGCCAGCACTTATCATTCTTTATTTGTTTAAACTTAGCTATTCTGGTGGCAGAAACTGAATATTGGAAGAACAACTGTGGATACCAGAGGCAGGCTAAGGTGGGCAATGAGGTGGGTGGGTGGAGAGACAAGAGGGAGGGAATAAAGAACAAGAAAAAAAAAAAAGCCAAACATTTAAGAGACACAAAAATGGAAAATTACCTGTTAAGGATAATGTATATAAAGTAATATCTTTGACTGGACTAATATGCAGTACATAGTGTATTCATGCTGGGAAAATCATTTTATATGCTGTAAAAATATACAGTGATCAAGCGTTAAAAAATAAGAAAATTAAAGAAAAGAAGAGAAAAAAAGGTGGCCACATAGCAAGTGAGTACACAGTTTTCATACCCAGGTCTATCTGATCAAAGCCTTTCCACCCCAGCCTCTCTGAAGCCAAAGCAAACCGTGGGCAAGGAAAAGCACAATCCAGACAGCAGCTGGAGAGAGGCAGTTTCCAAATGCCAGCCAGTGCTCGGCCAAGCATCGGGGACTGGTTGGCATAGTTCTCTATGTCATGTTCTCTATGTTACTGGGTTGGGGGGGTGGATACTGAGACTTAGAAAGGATCTGCCAAAGCTCCCACACACAGTAAGTGGTAGGGCTGGGATTTGAACCCAGTTCTACATTCTGAGCCCACATTCATTACACTAAAATCATGACCTCCTCTAGCCAGCCCCCCCCCACCCATCAAAGTGAAAGGAAGAGAAGTAGGAAGGAAGCATCTGCCCTATCCCACCCCAAGACAGCTCTTCCACATGGACCAACCCTGCCCCTTCTACCGAGCCTGGCACATACTGGCACTTGATAAAAGAGCACTGAATGAAGTAAATGATCTCAAAACCACCCTCTGAGACCCTGTGCCTCAGCAGAACCAGCCAAGGTTTTCTAAAACTGGAGCTGAGGTGGTACAGAACACCAAGAGCAAGGGGGCTGAGAGAACCCAAAGGCCCTGGTTCTACTTTTCTTTTAATCTCCCTCAAAGGGTGCACCAGAAAGAGAGAGAAGTGGGTGAGAGAACACTCCCTAATGGGGTGTGGTCATGTCACCCTACGTTCTCCTTCATTTCTCCATCCTGTCAGGATTTGGAGCATTCATGCACTCACTTCTGGACTGTTTTTCAAACCACCAGAGTTTGAACTACAGTTGGCCATGTGTGATCAGCCTCTCTTAACCACTAGGCCATGGGGTCAGCCTGCCCCAGCTCTCCTTTAGAGGAGGTTAGAAAGAAGAGGATTTAATCAAATAAGTGAAAACTACACCAGGCACACTCAGGATCTCAGGCCTGTTTGTTAGCCTCTTTCACCAATCTGTTCTCCACCCTGGGCACTGTTTGGGCTCTCTAACATCACCAAATTCCTTAGCAGGTGCTCTTGGCACCTTAGGAGGAGCACGCAATCATCTGGGGACAACCTGCTTTCCTTTCTAGTTTAGAAAGTTTGGCCTTCACCCCTCTCCCTTTCTCGTTGGGATTGATGGAACTTGGTATTTGTTTAGGGAGGACGTTTGGGACTCAAATGAGAGCTTATGGGCCAAGATGCTGGGAGATCACACATCCATGTACCTGCCTTCTCAGATGCCAAGAGTACATAAGAAAGGTCATGAGCTCCTTTTAAAAAATTAGATCTTGGGGCCAGCTGGGTGGCATAGTGGCTGAGGTGGCTGGATCCCACATGGCTGACTGTGCAGTTGGAGTCCCAGACCCCATAGCCCTGTAGCTTGAAAAACATGCTGGGTGCCTGTGTGTGTGTGCCCAAAATCCCAAGAAGAGATGGAGGAGAAGGGATTACAATCTGGCCATCCTCTCTGGTAGGTGCTTTCTCACTTTCCCTCTCTCTCTCTGTGTGTCTCTCTGTCTCTCTGTCTCTCTCGCACGCTAGTGCACGTGCATCTAGCAAATTAAAAAAAAAAAAAAATCTCTGAACTACAGGTGGAAATCCAGTGGCAGGCTTACTCTCTGGCTCCTGATGGTGTGGGATGTGGAGTAAGAAGGGTTGCTGAACTGGAAGGGGCTACAATGAAACTAGGAGTTTGTCCATCTTGGTTCTGTCCACCCTGCTGTGGGATGACCATGTACACAGACAGAAATCATGGAAGAGGGCTGGTGACACCCATCACCACACTGGAATCTTGGACAAAGAAGTCAAGCCAGAAACTCTCACTGTAGGCCTCTGCCCACCCCCTCCCAAAAGAGCCAGATGCCCTGTCATCCCCACAGTCACATTTGGTCAGGCATCTGCCCTGTTCACCTACCCACGAGCCATTCTCTGAACCCAGTGGAGACACAAACCAACACCAGAACAAGGTGTGAGTTAGGTATGTGGAGCTAGATCAAATGTGCTTTATTATTCCAACAGAAGCCCTCTACTACATTTCAGAACCCTCTGGAACAGCACCTTGAGGGAAAATCTGACACGGAGGCAGCCTGAAAACAAAACCCTGGAACCCACTGAAATGATAAGGAGGTGAGGCCTGCGAGCAGCAAGCTTTAGGGACGAGCTCGGAGAAATTTGAAAGCCAGGAGCCCTCTCCAGGTCACACTCTGGGCCTGGACTCTGTGCAAAGACAGAGATTGAGCATCAGGGCTCAGGTTGAGGAGATTCCTTTCTAAGCCCTGGAGACAATGGCCTTGGTCTTCTAGGTCAGTCACTCTCAGAACCGGCCCCCCGGGCAGGGCACACAAACAGGGCGGGGGCTGCAGATGGTACGGGCTACACCCGGCCCACAGGAGGCCGCAGGAAGACAGGGGAGGCATGACTTGGAGGGTGAGTAGTCAGGAGCACACGGATTACAGGGGAGCCTAGGAAAAAGAAAAAAGTCATATTACTAGGGTTTTCTATTTGCTGTGTTTGATATAACAACTCAGATCAAATCCCAGAATCATATGCCTCCATGTTTTATCAAAGTGGAATGAAACTTGGAGAGGAAAGGGGCAGCTGGAGTCACATGCTGAGTTTATAACAAGACTAGACCCTAGACCCCAAACCCAAGGCTCCTGACCAAATGCCAGGGTCTTTCCAGGTGCCATGCTGTCTCCCCCAAACTCCAAACACTGGCATTCAGAGAGAAGCTAGGTGGTGGGACTCACTTGCAGTCCTCACTCTCCAGCAGACCCCGGTACGTGTTGATCTCGCACTCCAGCCGAGCCCGCACGTCCAGCAGCACCTGGTACTCCTGGTTCTGCCTCTCCAGGTCAGCCCGGATCTCGGCCAACTGGGCCTCCACATTGGTGATCATGCACTGAATCTGGGCCAACTGGGAGCTGTAGCGGGCCTCTGTCTCTGCCAGGGTGGATTCCAGAGCATCTCTCTATAAGAGCAAGAGATTATAAAGAGAAGAAGATTAGAGGCAGGAGAAGAAGCAAAGAGGATCCATCTGGGATCTCAGTGGAACTCAAGAACAGAGGCTTAGAGAATCACTTTGAGCTAGAATGAACCACAGTCAGATTTCTCATTTGAGATGAGCCAATTAGCCCCTGGAGCTTCCTTGAACTAGAGAGTATTTCCCTATTAATGACATGTCTGAGTAATTACTCAGAGGTGTATCTGCTTACACAAATATTGTGGCTTCTGCCAGAACATGTCGTTCAGTACAGGCCTCTTGTCTTTTATCACTGGGGCATTTGTGACGGGCTGGGTCCTCATTCCCTCTTCTCTGTACAGAAGCCCTGATTGATGCTCAAGAAGTCCCAGAGCCCACCTTTGTGGTAAGGGCATGGAAATTTGGGAGCTCATATGCTCTAGGCTTGGTCCAGTGGCAGTTCTCCCCCATCTCAGGCTCACCATGCTGTGCTGGGCCTGCAGCTCGATCTCCAGGGCATTGACTGTGCGTCTCAGCTCGATGATCTCTGCCTGGCAGGTCTGCAGCTGCTCTGAGCTGGACACCACCTGCTGGTTCAGTTCCTCAGTCTGAAAGACATGCACACACAGGAGCTAGTCAGGAGCACTGGGGACTCAGTTTCTGAGTTCTGCAGGGGCTACTTAGTACCATGGACCAAGAAGGATCTTGCAGATCTCCCAGTTCAACCCAGTCATTTCACGCTTGAGAACAGAAATTTGTCCCAGGTTGCACTGTGATGTAGAAACAGAGCTGGAACTCAAACTCAGAGTTCTTGATTCAGAGCCTCAGGTCACTTCTATGTGTCCCATCATGTCCCCCTATTGCATTTTTTCCGGAACCTACCTGGTTATCAAACCAGTCTTCAGCCTCCCGGCGGTTATTCTCCACCAGAGTCTCATACTGGCACCTCATCTCATCCAGAACACGGTTCAAGTCAACAGGTGGGGCAGCGTCCACCTCAACATTGAGCCGGTCACCAAGCTGGCAGCGCAAGCTGTTCACTTCCTATGGCACAGACAGTGATCAACACTAACCTTCCCAGCTGGCTGCCTTGCTCACCTCCTTCCCCATGCTCACCTGTTTTCCCATGCTCACCCCTCCTCCATGTTCAGCTGCCCCACCTTACTCACCTCCTTCCCATGCTCACCTCCGTCCCTGACTCATCTTTTCCCCCATGTTCACTGCTCCCCCATCCTCACCTCCTCGTGATTCTTCTTGAGGCACATCAGCTCCTCCTTCAGGGACTCCACCTGGGCCTCCAGGTCAGCCTTGCACAGGGTCAGATCATCCAGGATCCTGCGCAGGCCATTGATGTCGGCCTCCACCAGCTGCCGCAGGGACACCTCGGTCTCATACCTGCAGTAACAGAACAGGGCACATGCAGCTGCACCTCATTTTTTTTTTTTATCTAAGTCAGGTCCTACCCCAGACTAGCCTGGTGCTGTGGGTCCTGCCTTCACACCTCAGTAACTGAGCATAGCCAAAACCCTAAGTCTAGGCATTGCCAATGTCTAGTTTATACCAGTCCCCAGCCAAGGGGTGAGGAGGACAACTTACTTGGTCCTGAAGTCATCTGCAGCCAGCTTGGCATTGTCAATCTGTACCACCAGCCTGGCATTCTCCGCCTTGCTGCACAGGGTCTGGGGACACGAGAAGTGACTTTAGTGCAAGAAAGGGCATTCTGCTGATTGGAGCTGCCTTTGGAGAGAGGGAGTCACCTATCCTGAACCCCTGGAGGCTGAGTCTCCATTGTATACATGTTCGAGGGATCAGACCACGGAACCTCTAAGGTTTCTTCCAATGCAGTGTGTCTGTGACTTGTAACCAGGGATAGCAAAAAGGGCATGGATGTGCTATAGAAAAAGCTCTGTATAATGGATGGGAGTTTCTCCCTGCCTTCCTGTCTTCCCTCCCAGGCCTAGTGGGAGACCAGGGAAAGCAAGTGACAATCTGTGATTATCCTGTGATTCTCTGGTCATTGATGGTCCCTCTCAGGTGCCAGCTGTGACTTTCAGAGGATATAGGCTGGGCAAGAAGGAAAATTCTCTGACAGGCATTGCCTTTCCTGGAGACCTGATCTACATCAAACACATCAAATCAAGCTCCTCTGCTTTAAAACAATGAGGAAATTGAAACTCAGAGAGAACTGAGTCCAAGGATCATATGAGCAGTTAGTTCATAGAGCCTATGTCCAAGCTTTGGCTCCACTAACCGCCTACCATGCCATGTTACCAGCCTACACCTCAGCATTCCCATTTGTATAATGGGCTAATAATACCTCCCTCATACAAGTACTGGGAGAAAGAAAAGAGGCCACAAATATGACCATGCTTCATAATTTCCAAATTGCCCCGTGGGAGCAGGACTACCATCTTGTGTTCTAGTTTCCAGTCCATGGTTGATGAAACAAGGCTACTGAGTAGCCAAAGCCACTCTGAGCCTCTTACCTTTTTCTGGAGCTCCTCAATGGTCCGGAAGTAGGACTGGTAGTCGGGGCACATGTAGGGAACCTGCTGCTCACACCATTCGCGGATGCGGCTCTCCAGTTCTGCATTCTCCTTCTCCAGCTGGCGCACCTTCTCCAGATAGCTGGCCAGGCGGTCATTCAGGGACTGCATAGTCTCCTTTTCATTGCCTGTGAGGATGCCATCTCCAAACCAGCCCCCACCCATGCTGTAGCTGGTGGCAAAACCTCCAGCTGGAAGGCAGAGAACAGGGAGGCAGCTGGCAGCCCTGCAGCTGCTTCTGCCAAGCCCAGCTGAGAACGCAGAGAAAGTGCGAGCCCCATGAGAGAGGCTCGGAAGCTTGCAAGAGCTGCTGGAGTACATTGTAGACACACGAGTGGAGCCCCCACCAGCCCTTCCTGGGCTCTTGAGAGACCCCGAAGAGAAGCTTGTCTTGAGGCATTTGGAAGCCATGGCCTCAGCAGACTGAATGTGAATGTTAGATGTCTGAGGGCAGATGCTACAACACAGAGAAGCAGCTCTTCCCCCCCAGATTTATACCTCCGCCCCAGTGGGCGTTGGTTGGCCTTTACAAAGTGTTTTCTCCTCATTAAAGTTAATACCACTTTCTATCAGAACCCTTCATTAACCCGCTATTTAGCTTCCCATGAATGTTTCATGACCTTGTAAAACAGGAGCCCCGTTGGACTGCTGGCTACTTTGAGACTCACCTCTACCATCCCTGTCACTTAGAAGACCAAGTCTCCGTCAGTTCTTCAAAGGAAGCTGTCATCAGAACCCAGACTTCAGCCTTCTCATTAAGCAGGCATGGGCCAGCCACTATCTGGACTTTCTCCAACTTTGCCTCTTTTCATAGACTCAAGGCAGTAGAGGAGGCACCTAGGTTGGCCTCCTGGTAGATGGAAGAGCATGTCTGGTTGTTGTAAGAAGGCAAGGGTCTTGTAGAGAAAGAGACACAGAAAGCTCTGAAACTGGCCTAAAAGATATTGCCAGGGTGACCAACTCTCCTGGCTTCCCAGGGACTTTCCTGATGTCAGTGCTGACAGTCCCACATATTGGAGAGTTCTCAGTCTTGGGGAAAATGGAACAACTGGTCACCCTAGATACAGCAGAGCCTTGATAAACACATCTCTATTGCCTCCCTTACCAGAAAATCTGTTCTGACTATGCGACCTCAGCTCCAGCAAAGAGGATTAGAGATCAGTTAATTGGGAACCTGCTCATGGTGACACCTGGAGAGCATGCTTTCCCCAGCCCTGGTTGGAAAATGGAGAAGTCATTCCTTCTGGTTGTCTAAATAGGAGAAAGGGGGGAAGAGAGTGTCTTGATTCACAAACCTCCTCAGGAAGTATGAAGAGCCTGACTTTCACATTTTTACCTCTGCTACATGAGTCAGCTAAACGGATGTCTGGAAAGCTTGACAAGGCACTAACAAGTCCCAACCCAATCCAAGCCAAGCAAATGAGACCTGGAAAAGTGACTAGGAGCTGAGCTCCATGGGAGGGTGGAGCTGGGTTCTGGGCCTCATTGGGTGGAACTTTGTAGGACTTGTGTTTTGATCTATCCTGTAGTTTGGGGTCTTGATTACTCTTTTGGGGACACAAATTATCTGCCCATATGGAAAACAGTCATGAGCTGAACACCAGCAATAAGCTAGGCATACTACTCTGTGCCCCACACATGGTTTTACTAAGTCCACAGGATTGCTCTGTGAGCCTAAGTTTATTATTCCCATCTTGAAACATAAGAATCAAGATTCAGAGATAATAAAGCTTGCTGAAGTGCCCCCCACTGGAGATTGGCCAAGGAGCCACCCCAAGTCTGGTCCCCCACCCCACTTCTGCACTCCACCTCCACCTCTGCTCTAGGATCCTGTTCCAGGCTGCTGGATATGATCAAGGTCTATGAAGAAAAAAAGAGAGAATTGGAGTGGGCTTCACAAGGGGATGGCCAACAGCACATAATCATAGTTGCCTGTGTACTCATTGGTTCAAACCCCAGCCCCACCACAGACCAGCTGTGTGACTTAACTCTTCTATTTCCTCTTCTGTAAAATGGGAAGAAAATAATAATACCTATTCTCTAAGGTAGCTGTGAGGATTAAATGGGTTTGAATCATCTAGAACAGCACCTGCTTGTGGTAAGTATGCAATAATGACAGTTGTTGTGATTGCCAATTGCTATACAAGTGGTATCTTGTTGTACTTAGACTGGTGATGCTAAGCAACTATCACTAGGGAGTGTGGGTGGGCTTTGAGCACACAGGTCACATCCCACAAGCCAAGTGTATGTGTTTGGGGCCCTCAGATAGAGAGCTTCCATGAGTCATCATGCTCTTCCCACACCTGGGGACCTGATGTGACCAGCATCTGCCCAATACAATCCCAGAGTCCCAGAGGCTGTCTCAGCCTTTCCTCTCTAGAAATTCAAGCCCCAGTGCAAAGGACACAGCTGAGCCAAGAGCCTGACTGGGCTTCCTTGGGTGTTTGCATTTCCCACCCATGTAGATAAAAGGCTCTACTCAACCCAGCTAAGCCACAGCCTCCTGGGGATATTCTCTGGGCTTATCAAGGGCCACCCTGGAGCCACAGGGCCTGGAGAAGGCACAGCAGGAAGTTCTGGGAAGCCCCTTGCTGTTTGCATAGCCTCTGTGGTCCACAGGTTCCCAGGCAGGGCTGCACTCCTTTGCTGCCCAGGAGGGAATTCAAGTGCTTCTCAGCTGCAAATGCTCTCTCCACACAGGCCTTTTACCATCAGAGGGCTAATGGTACCAGCCATCATTCCTTGAGCACTCAGTGCCTGCCAAGTGTCATGCTGAATTGACTCCATGCATTCTCTCATTCAGTCCTCAGAACAACCTCCTGAGATTTGTATCCCCAATAGCCCCACTTCATAGCTGAGTAAACTGAGGCTTGGAATGTTTCAGCAGGGCGTCTGATATCACACAGCCAGTGAGCGGCAGAGTCAGCAGAGCTAGCATTTGTGTAACGGTTCAAGGTGTGCTATCTCCTTTAAGCCACACACACACCCGGCAACACAGACATGGGTAGAAGGACGCTGACTCCCACAGGAAGGCCGAATGGTCAGGGTGGTGAATGATTTACACAGGCTTTCCAGGGAGATTAAAGCACAGGCTTTGGCTCCAGACCTCAGCCTATCCCGCTGCCACTGGGGCCCAGGGTCAGCCAACCCTTTTCCCTGGAGCCTGCCATCTGCTCCAGCCCTGCTGGGTCTGCTGAATACTTCTGGCAGTGACCAGTGGTGGATCCATTATCCCTCAATTAACTGATGGCCTCTGACTGTCTTGTGTTCCGGACCTATGTTCCAGGGAGGCTGTAATTTGGGGCGCAAAGGCTAACCTCATACTTCTTTTGAAACCACTGTAGTGTCAAGCACAGTGCTATGCTTCTAGATGTCTCAGCATGAATGAATGAATGATTCTCCCATGCTGAATGGTATTAAGTAAGGAAACAAAGGATTTAGGGAAGACGGGAGCATAGAAAGGGAGGAGAAGAGGGAGTTAAGGGGGAAAAATGTGAGTAGGAAGGGGGAAAGGAAAACACCAAATAAATCTTACTGTTTCTACTCTTATAAATGAGGAAACTGAGGCTCAGAGCTGGAAAGGAAATAGACATCTCTGTGCAGGTTAGTAGCACTTGTCCAGACTAGCCACCCATTTTGGCAGAGAATAAAGTGTTCTCTGGGCCAAAAGCCATTCTGCTTGAGGGAGACAGATTCCATAAGCTTATTCAGCACTAAAGGTGTGGCTAAAAACTTCTTGATAAGATTTTTTTAGATAATTTTATAAAGCATGTAAGTAATGTTTTTTTTTAATTTATTTGTTTACGTTCATTCACTGTACATCATTACAGCATACAAAATGAGATTTTCCATCCAGAGTACACTGTATATTCTCTCAATCAAGCTCATCAACATACATGTTATTGTCAACAAATAATTTTCTATTTCTTGTTTCCTGTATGTTTTGCTCCCCCGCCCCCATCCTTGATTCCCTATCTCTTACCCTCAGCCATCTCCCACTCTCTTCCCACACTGTCTCTGGTATCTATGTTTACTTTCTATACTGTTTTCCCCCCATTTTTTATTGAATTACTAAAGATCGTAATTAATCTAAATATTTTCGTAGCAAACACAGCTGATAGATACATTTCCATGAACATAAGTCTAACTTTAGGCATCCTATAAAGTATCATCTAGCTGGGGCTATATATCTTAACTGCGGTCATCGAATAAATTTTTTTTTCTGAAACTTTTCTTTTTTTTTGTAACTTAATTTACATTATTTCCCTAAGCATCATCATAGCATACAAAATGTGATTTCCCATCTAGAATATACTGTATAGTGACTTAATCATGCATATTATTTTCCAAAATTTTCTACCCTTCTTTCTGACCGTCTGTCCTTTCCCACCCTCTTCTCCCACTGTCTCTGGTGTCTACAATTGTCTTCTATTCCTTTTCCACCCACATTGTATTGATCACAC